GGGGGGGGGTGCAATGCAGTACTGAATCAATGAATCGCAGAGAAATATATACCAAAATAAAGATTTAAAATGGCATGGTTCGTGTGCTCACGAAAACGTCATAAGTTAAATTTAAAAAAAAAAAAACAAGTAAGAGCAGCGCTGTCTTCGGCTATGCTGAAGGCTTCATACCTTTCATGAACATCTGAAAATGTTATTTTAACAGATTACTGCATTTGACAGAATGTATATATTCACAGCATACATAGATAGAGGAGATAGATATATAAAAAACCATATCTAAATAATCCGAGGTATGGAAGATATACCTTACATAGCACCAATCTAAGGCATGTAAACTGGTAACACAATTTAATGGGCTGAACTTCCTACATAAAGAAGATATATCGCACAAATTGGTATCTGAAATATCAGTGGTATAGGAGATAAAGCTTATACAGCATCGATTTTGACGATTTTCTCAGAGGACTTTGTATTACACTATGCGACAGTCAAAATCGGGATGGGATGAAACCAACGGGAAATGTTATATCGGTCAAAAACAAGTTATACGTGTCCCGGCGTTTCGCTGGGTCACGTCTAGGAATCGAGATATATGTATAACTATCATATAGGGGAAACTGTCACCTTTGGTGGACTTTTTTTGACATAACTCGAGAACCACTGGTTCGATTTTGCTCAAACAAATTTAAAAAAATTAAAAATTACAATTGCTTTAATCTGTTCATATAAAATTTTTCTATATAATCAACAGTTTTGCCGGTAAAAATAAATGTATGAAGAAAAAAAATATTTTTTGCCTAAAATATTAATTTTTTTTTAAAACTGTTGATTATATAGAAAAACGTTATATGAACAGATTAAAGGAATTGTAACTTTTAATTTTTTTAAATTTGTTTGAGCAAAATCGGACTAGTGGTTCTCGAGTTATGTCAAAAAAAGACCACCAAAGGTGACAATTTCCCCGATATGATAGTTATATATATATCTCGATTACTAGACGTGACCCAGCGAAACGCCGGGACACGTATAACTTCTTTTTTACCTATATAACTTTCCCCGGTAGTTTGAACCCTTCCCGATCACTGACCCCTACCATTTGTCTCACAGTGTTATTATTTATAAAATCGCTTACGAAATTTATCGGTTTTAGCTGTCCAAATAAAGAGGTTTTACAGTAAAATCCCATATCTGTTGTATGGAGGCAATAAAAAGGTTACAGTGACCCGATATTTCTTCATTTTACTGTAAACTTTCTGTTGATAATGAGTGAAAATAGTGCGAAATTTCATGTTTCTAGCTACATAAATGGAGAAGTTATTACAAAAAGTCTCATATCTGAACAATCAGTTGTATGAAGACTATAGGTTATAGCGACGCGATCTTCGACATTTTTACTATAAGTATTCTCTTCATAATGAGTGACAACAGTGCAAAATTTCATGTTCCTAGCTACACCAATTGATGAGTTATAACGAAAAATCGTATATCTGAACAGCCAGTTGTATGAGAGCTATAGGTTATAGTGACACGATCTTTGTAATTTTCACTGTACGTATTCTGCTGACAATGGGTGGAAGTATTGCAAAATTTGATGTTCCTAGCTGCATAAATGGAGGAATTATAACGAAAAATCTCATATCTGAACAATCAGTTATCAGGACTAGATTGCATACAAACAGACGGACAGACAGACAGACAGACGGACAGACGGACATGGCTAAATTGACTCAGCTCGACGTTCTGATCATGTATGTATACATTTTAATGGGTCTATATCTTCTTAATCTGGTACTTACAAACATCAGAGCAAAGTTATAATACCATTTCATGCTCGTGAAAGGTATAAAAAACGGAATTGCGAACTATACGTTTTTTTTACTAAGATCCCTTGAATAAAAATAAACAAAAACTAAATTCATACAGTCAGCGTCCAAAATATGCATACCCTGACATTTTGGCGATTTTATTTATTTATATTTACCATACAAATTTTTTCTCACTTTTTTAGCCGACTTTAAATAAATAACTTTGTTTTTAGCAAAGGTGATGCCTCAGAGGTGGTCCCATACTAATGTCGATTAGATCCAATAATTGGATCATGAAGAAATTAACAGTACTCTTAAATTTTTTTATGAGAATTGAATTCGGTATTATTCTTTGCTTACAAATTACTCGTTATAAAAATATAACGGCAATTCATAACAACACATAAATGCCGCATATCCATGCGAATCCTGTAAACTTACTTAATTTTGTGTGGAAAACCGGTTTATTTACGAGGTTTCATTTTCCTAATTCGTTTCGCAAAAAAGTGGGTGTTGTTGTGGATCTGCTCGCATATCTAAAAAAGATTGTTTAATTGCGTTACATGGAATAAAATGCGAAACACTGAGGTCAAAAAAACCTCAAAAATCAACGGTAATCTTCGGCGAATTTTAACTTGAATTGAAAAAATCGATGAAAATTTATTGGTATTTCTTGCATTTTACCGTTTTTCAAATTAATTCTTGTGGTTTTTGCTGTTGAATGAACTACATTTAATAAAAACAAAAAAATAACAAAAATTTGGTTTGGTAAAAATATGTATAAATAAACAAATGCGTCAATACGTTAGGGTACGCATATTTTTGACCTGACTGTATATATATATATGAGAAATATTATCGTAAATTATATCCCGAGTACAAAGCTATCATTGCGTGTTAACCTACGCCTTGCTGTGATAAAAGTACGATCATTTCCTAATATTTATTTAGTTGCTAAGCAAAGTAAAACAACTTGAGTAAAATTGTCAGAAAGGATAAATCTCTTCTTGGGGTGCACATTTGGTGGATACCGTTATGAATTTTTTGCACAACCAAAAGGCAGGTGCTAGCGAATATTTCTGTGGTCATAAGCAATAACTGCCTAAGTCGAAAAACCTGAAATCGAGGAAAAGCGTTTTAAACATTTGCAACGTAATTTTATCCTTATAGCGAGATGGGGATTTCACATACACATGGAATAGTAGTTGCAGAATACGATAGCATATATCATTCAATTCCTTCTTAAGTCGACTTAGGTGGTTATTGCTTATGATCACACATTTCTGTATACTTATTCAAACAAATAGACTGACATTTGTTCACATTCATAATTATAGGTATCGCTTTTGATATATTAATAATTAGAATAGAAATAATCCTTATCTGCAAAATAGAACATGTGTATTACTGTAGTGAATTTAACAATGGTGAAAATAATTTGACAATCGGGTTGCAACGGAAGTGTTGTTCTCTCTCTTCTGTGAAGGATTTCAGAAATCGGAATTAAACATAGGTTGCATACAGAGTAGAAGCTTAGACGAAGACGAAGCTGAAGCTGAAAACTCATATTAAACACAAAACAAACAAATGCATTCGTATGGAAGTTGCCCAACCCTGCTTCTCTGTAATGCTGTAGCAGACCAAATCGAGTCTTTAAACGAGCTTATTGTTACCCGATCATTGCTCGTGTTTTAACGATCGTAATCAACACACGAGATAGGTACTCCAAAGAGAAATCCCTCGGGTTTTTTTTTCTACACTTATGTAATGCAAAGCAGGGGTATAAGGTCCTGCCCTAGGGCATCGCAATGTAACTTTGACCACATTTTTTGTAGGCATTTCGGTTAGGTTTGGAGTACTCTTTACAGCCGTACATGGAAGAATCGTGATTTGTGCAGGGTAGTCCCTGTCAACAAAAATGAAGCGAACTTTCAACCCAAAAGCACCCGTTTACGCCACCCAAGTGGCTTCATCTTCTAGGAAAGATGCTTTCAACAGACAAATCTTGCCTCTGTGTCTGTAGGCGAGATTGGTTAAAATATTCTCTAATATCTAAGAGCTGACTAGTTACGTGCACACTTAAATACATAGTCTTCAAATATCTAAACGGGAATAGTTAATTTTTGTAGTAATCAAATTAGAAGCTTCCAATATTGATCTAAAATTTCGAATGTTTTACAATTCTTTCAACTTGATATTCCATACTTACTTGCCAAACCATGCGCCGTCACTGCTGGTGAAACGATCCACAAAATTGTGTAAAGAAATTGCCGATATATCACTGAGCGCATAGTAATGTGTAAGATTGTATTCCGGAAGCCAGTTGGGTTCGCCCACTTGATTCGCCAATTGTAAATCCATAAAGTACTGCGTGTAGTCCAGCACCTGTAATTATACATACAAGCCAGGCGAAAAGTGGGTTAGTAAATTGTACAAAAAAAAACGAAAGAATTGCGGTGAAAGTAATTAAATATTTTTTTTAGGCTTGGTTAGAGCAGCCACGCTCATACAATAAAGCGAAAATTACATACACGCAATGTAAGTTAGTAAGAATTTAGTTAGCTATTGAAGCCGATGCTTTAATAAGAGTTACAATGTTTTTTTTTTAACGTTTCGTGCTACATGAGCACAAATTTTCGGCGATAGTTATCATGATTAATATTTTTGTAATATTTTAATGTATATTGTGAATAAATTTTTCCATCATTGACTTAAAAATCCATCATACGGCTTCCTGTGCAGCACACGGAGATCATGCTTTAAGATTGGGTAAATATGTAGGTTTCCCATGCTAATGATTGGAAGTATTCCCCACTCTGTCACAAATGGTAGCTGATAGGATGACCTATCTCAACGGCAACCCACTATGCCAAACCCAACATGCATATTAAGCAGGAAAATCCTCTAGTACTGCTATACATAGCCTAACTCAACGAAATAATATCAATAGGTATGACAAAGAAGGATATTCCTAGCCTAGTAACTGACTAGGTAATATAGAAATGCAGAATCGTAGTGGTTGAGCTAGCAGGCTATCCGTGGCTTCCTCAAGGGCAGTCTTTTCTTTCACCCCTACTATGGACGCTGGCTGTCGAAGAACTCTCGATTTAATGTATTAAGTTGCTACTCAGGTTAAATTTTCATCTACGTTATGGGTTGGCATGAGGAGGCCATATGCTCCGGACTGCAACCAACCCTAAATTTAACCATAGAATGCTGAGGGTAAAAGGGCTTGCCAATACACAACCGTGTCTATTTCACCAAAAGAAAAGGTCAACCTGTTCAAACCTAAATTGTAAGATATGGAGATATAGTTTTCACAAAGTGTGAAACATCTAAAGGTGACATTAGATCAACAACTCATCGCGACCCTAAACCTCACATCGATTACCAATGAAGCCACAAAGGCGATTTATGTTTGTCAAAGGCTTCGTATTAAAAATTGTAGAAAATCCCTCAATTTGGCATATTGGCCTATATACAATGGGGTGGTCCAAAAATGCATGTGAAAAAGTAAAGTCGGAATTTTTATGCTCTCACCACCTAGGATTGTTCTATTACGAAAAAATTATGCCTTTATTTTATTATTTTGAAATCAAAAATATTTAGAGGCCGCCCAAAGCGCCAAAAGTTTTCCATGTATTTTATATGGGGGAAAAACCAAGAGCCGTTTGATACCAAACGAGGTTTCAGACAAGGGGACTCCCTTTCGTGTGATTTCTTTAATCTTATGTTGGAGAAGATAATAAGAGCCGCAGAACTAAACCGCTCAGGCACAATACTTTATAAGAGCGTACAATTGCTGGCGTATGCCGACGACATCGATATTATCGGTAAAAACAAGGGCTACGTCTGTTCTGCCTTCTCGGGATTGGATAGAGAAGCAAAGCGAATGGGTCTAGTGGTGAACGAGGACAAAACGAAGTATCTCCTGTCAGCACACAAACAGTCAGAGCATACGCGTCTTGGCACCCACGTCACTGTTGACAGTTACAAGTTTGAAAAAGTAGACGACTTCGTTTATTTGGGAACCAGCATTAACACCAAAAATAATGTCAGCCTTGAAATCCAACGGAGAATCACTCTTGCCAACAAGTGCTACTTTGGGCTGAGTAGGCAATTGAGAAGTAAAGTCCTCTCTCGTCGTACAAAGATCACACTCTATAAGTCACTCATCATGCCTGTGCTGGTGTATGGCGCGGAAGCATGGACAATGAAAGCATCTGATGAGGCGGCTCTTGGAGTTTTCGAGAGAAAGATTCTGCGAAAGATTTACGGACCTTTACACGTTTGTGATGGCGAAATTGCAGACGATTTAACGATGAGCTGTATGAGCTTTACAACGATATAGGCATAGTGCAGCGAATTAAAATTCAGCGGCTCCGCTGGCTTGGCCATGTCGTTCGGATGGACAGAAACGCTCCTGCTCTGAAAATATTCAACGCGGGCCGCGATGCTGGTAACAGAGGAAGAGGAAGGCCTCCTCTGCGTTGGAAAAACCAGGTGGAGAAGGACTTGGCTTCACTTGGCATTTTCAATTGGCGTCAGTTAGCACAGAAGAGAAATGACTGGTGTGCTGTTTTGGACTCGGCCAAAATCGCTTAGGCGGTTACAGCGCCAAATAAGAAGAAGAAGAAGAAAAACCAAGAATGATAGAATACAAGATTGCGCATTCCTGCGGGTGATGACGTCAAGATAGCAACGAATAGGAAAGAATAATTGGAGATGGAGGAGAGAAAGAGTGTTAACTGTCAAACCTTGGAGGTCGCCATATTTACATACATATAAACATCTCTGCATACATACAAACAGTTTGCTAAAATGACGTCACACGAACAGCTGATTCTGTCAAATTCGCCAAGAACAAAGTAGCGTGGAAAAACCACTTTTCGTAGAAATGGTGTAGAATAGTTAAAAATCAATATTTTTCTACCAGAAAACTCTGCTTATCTGCAGGAGACTCTCAGTAATAATACCCAATTGTTTCTTTAAACATTTTTTCATTGCAACTATAATTTATAGGTCCGTCACAAACTCACAGAAACCTCGAAAAATCCAAGGGGCGACCAATAAAAAATCGTTTGTATTAAAAAATGGTTAAATAAACAATTGGGTATTATTATTGAAAGTCTTCTGAAGAGAACCAGCGTCTTCCGATAAAAATAAAATATTGGCTCTCAAGAATTCTATACCATCTCTACGAAAAAAATTTACTTTTCCCATATAAAAATACATGGAAAATTTTGAGCGCTTTGAGCGACTTCTAAATATTTTTAGATTTCAAAATAAAAAAATAGGGGAATACTTTTTTCGATATAGAACAATCCAAGGGGGTGAGGGCATTACAACTCCGACTTTACTGTTTTTGGACCACCCTAATGTACCTACATACGAGCACCAATTAATTTCATTTAAAGAAATGGCGTGTTGTCCATTTTCGCTGTTGTGTTTGTAGTGCATATTTTTAGGCGCTATATTTAACTACTTGCGGCGAGGCGACATCTACCTCTAGAATCTTTCATATGATACCTTCCGGCGAGGTTGATGTCCAGACTTTTTTATAGGATTTTTCAGAAGCAATAAAAAGGGGTTAGTTTTTAATTTTTTCTTTGTTAATGTCTGATTTTTTTTTTATAAAAATCAAAATATATTGGAAAAACGGTAAAGAGATCAAAAATCTGCAATACAAAATTAGGCTTACGTGTCTCAGCATTTGTTGTGTCATTATAAAACTTGAGACTTTTCCTACAGTGTTATTATTCCCATCCATAGTCTGAAACATGACATACTCCAAAATGTTTAACTTTAGGAATAGCTCAAGATCGGAGAAATTACTTAAACGTTAGCACAATAGATGCCGCAATAATAAATAAATAATAGTAATGGGCTTATTAATAGAGATGCAAATCTATTGGGTTCCACTATTAGATACTTAACATCTTTTTTTCAGAACGTTTTTGATGCTTTGGAGGTCTTTTGCCAAACGTGTTACTTCTCTGAAAGTTTAAAACCTCGAATCACCTCGAAGCGCTTCACTTTTAAAGAAGTCTGACTCCTTTAAAGTTAGTAGAAATACGGACGAACCTTATTCTTCTAGTGAAGAGCACAGCGCTAGTTTCAGCTACTCCTGTGACACTATATTTAGTGTTATTTGCACTTAACTTCAATCAACTTGGAGATAAGGGGTGCACTAAGGCCTAGTACATCGTCTGCATAGAGCCGGGTGTAGATATTAGTGCCTGAGAAACGGAGAAGTTAGAGAAAAGCAGTTGTGAATTATGCCTTTTTTCTAACGACCTTCAGCGACAGCATTGTACGAATCCAATTTCCGCACGGATCTACTTTCTTCTTCTTCTCTATTAGCGCTATAACCGCCTAAGCGATTTTGGCCGAGTCCAAAACAGCACGCCAGTCATTTCTCTTCTGTGCTTACTGACGCCAATCGGAAATGCCAAGTGAAGCCAAGTCCTTCTCGACCTGGTCTTTCTACGCAGAAAAGGCCTTTCTCTTCCTCTGTTACCAGCAGCGCGACCCGCGTTGAATACTTTCAGAGCTGCAGCGTTTCTGTCCATTCGAAAAACACGACCTAGCCAGCAGAGCGGCTGAATTTTAATTCGTTGCACCCCGTCTATATCGTTGTAAAGCTTATACAGTTCATCGTTAAATCGTCTGAGGTATTCGTCATCCCTTATGCGCAACATCGCAAAAAATATAGAAAAACGGTTTTTTCTTATCAGCGGTCGTCCCTCGGTAGGCAATGGGAAACCTCCGAGTGTATTTCTGCCATGAAAGACGGCTTCTCATAAAAATACAATCGCCATTCGGAGTCGGCGATTTGTGTGACAACATCAAGGTGCACGCCACAAGTCGGAGGAAAAGCTCGACCAAACACTAACATATGTGTAGGCGCCAATCGTTTATTATTATTAATGCGCAAAGGTCCATAAATCTTTCGCAGAATCTTTCTCTTGAAAACTCCAAGAGCCGCTTTATCAGATGTTTTCATTATTCACGCCTCCGCGCCATATACCAGCACAGGTGTACGACGAGAGAGGACTTTACTTTTGCCCACTCAGTGCAAAGTAGTCTCCGTTGGATTTCAAGGCTGGCTTTATTATTGGTGTTTATGCTGGTTCCCAAATAAAAGAAGTCGTCTACTTTTTATACCCGAGCGCACTTGTGCACAGGGTATTTATAACTTTGTTCACATAACGGTTGTTTGTAACAGGCAAAACGAATCGAGATAGATATAAACAAATGTATACATAAATGATCAGAACGAAAAGAGAAATCGATTAAGCGGTGACTGTCTGTCCGTCCGTCCGTCCGTCCGTCCGACTGTGCACACGATAACTCGAGTAAAAATTGAGATATCTTAACGAAACTTGGTACGTGAACTTCTTTTGGGCGTAGGACGGACGGTATTGAAAATGGGCGAAATCGGACAACAACCACGCCTACCTCCCATATAACGGTATTTTTAAGAAATACGAAAACTGCGATATTTTAGTAACTACTGAAGATAATTCACTCAAAATTGATACTTACAATGAGTTTGAGACGGAAAATATGAATTTTATAAATTTTTGGAAAATGGGCGTAGCCACGCCCACTTATGGTTACATGTGTATATCTTGGTAACCGCTACACCAATTTCTTCCAAACTTGGCACAGTTGTTGGCCTTAGTACAGCATACTAAATGGCTGAAAATTTTAAAAATCGGACAATAACCACGCCTACCTCCCATATAACGGTAATTTTCAGAAAAACCAAAACTGCGATATTTTAGTAACTACTGAAGATAATTCACTCAAAATTAACATTTGCAATGAGTTTTAGACGAAAAATAAGAATACATATTACAAAATTTAGGCAAATGGGCGTAGCCACGCCCACTTATGGTTACATTTGTATATCTTGGTAACCGCTACACCAAATTCTTCCAAACTTGGCACAGTGGTTGATCCTGGTACAGCATACCAAATGGCCGAAAATTTCTAAAATCGGACAATAACCACGCCCACATCTCATATAACGGTAATTTCGAGAAATACAAAATCTTCGATAAATCAGTAAATATTGAAGCTAATTTATTCAAAATTGATGGCTGCAACAATTCTTTACCAAGAAATACGTTTATGACAAAATTTTGGAAAATGGGCGTAGCACCGCCCACTTGTGAACACATATATGTATCTCGCTAACCGTTCTAGCAATTTGTACCAAGCTCGGTATGGTTATTGTGCTTGCCACATAGAAGCAAACCGTTGAAAATTGTTGAAATCGGACTAAAATTGAGGCCGCTTTTCATATAACGGTAAATTTCAGATATGCTTGAAATTTCAATATTTCGAAATTTAAGGACGCTAATTTACTTAAAATGTATACACCCCGGCTTATCATGTAGCGATAGCTTTCGGAAAGGTGGAAAACATATATTTAATACTTGCGCCGGGTATTTAATGTTCGGCTCCGCCCGAACTTAGACTTTCTTACTTGTTCAAACTTGTAACTGTCAACAGTGACGTGGGTGCTAAGATGCGTATGCTCTGACTGTTTGTGAGATGGCAGGAGATACTTCGTTTTGCCCTCGTTCAACACCAGACCTATTCGCTTCGCTATTCGGATCTACATTACGCGTCGAAAGCCAAAAAGTATACAAAATGACATGAGCTTGCGAAGTGTGCTTAGCTCAGGGGTTAGCTTGCAGGATTTTCACATCGCGTGACACGGGTTCTATCTCTCTTCTCTTTGTTCCGTCCATGGAAAAAGCTAAATTGAACGGAACGAGCCAGCCAGGTAAGGTTCTTTGCTGCCAATTAACGAGGCGATTATCACCGTTTTGTGCATACTTTAGAAATGTTGAAGAATACGCCATAGCCGTTGCTAATCACTTGTGGAACAAGCGGGAAGACTGAGAACGCGGATTTGCAGGAAAAAGACAGGATACCTGCTGAGAACAATGGCGAGTACCCATAACTACTCTCTGCAGAAGCTGCCACGATGAGGATGACGAGCAATGATGGTCAATTGGACCCCTTTCTGTGTGACAGTCAAAGAATCCCAACCAATTGGCATTACGCTTCCTCAACAATTTTGCGGAGATAACGGACGTGAAACACTTGGATCTCCTCAACTTCATTTAGGACAGGCGCTGGTTCAGTGGGCTAATGCTATGAAAGATACCAAAATTTCGCTCTGGTTAGGAAGCCCCTCCTAACACTCCCTCAAACGGGGCACTCTACAACGGACAACACCGAGTGAAATTGTAGAACATTTTATACACCTAACCTAACCTGACATTCTCGCTGAATTCTAGAAAGATTTGATAAGAAAATTGGTGATCCACAAAGCAACTGTAAATTCTACAGTTAATACTTTGTTGCTATTTCCAAATTTTTTTAGCCAATAACTATATCTCCTCAGCCTGGTGTATGCAAATTAATTTTCACCAGCCGGGTTGTTTTCAAAGCTGCATGCATTGCAAAATTGTCTATCATAAAATCGGCAACGATGTACTAAACTGCAAACACACTTAGCTGCAGAAGTGATGAAAGCGAGTAGAAGCTAAAATGTGCATAACTTTGCGAACGCTTGAAAGTGGCATAAATTTGTAACGCGTTGAACAAATGCTAAGAGAGTTTTTGTGAACGCGAACAGGATGGTGTTGGCCATGCCATCATTTGCATATGAATGCGAATATACATATTTATAGGATATATGTACATACATATGCATATAGTAAAGTGAATATATGCCAATAGTGTAGCTTTCAAGCGGAATATAAGGAGAGGTATGCGCCACTCGCCAAGCGGATGTACGCTCAAACGGAAGTAACTGTGTAAGTTTGCAGCTGTATAAATTAAATTTGTAACACACTTTGCTACATTGTGGCCGAATAAGGACAAACACACTTACAAATAAAAAAATCATAATGCAAGTGAAAATAGTTTTCGAGACACAAACTTTTAACTCAGTTGCGAAGATTTAACAATAAAATGGAATGCGAAAGTAGAGCGGAGCGCACAAACGCGGCGATTGAGAACAGAACCCAACCTCTTTTCACGTGGGCTTGTCTTGAGTACGGAAGTGGAATACAAATTCAATTTCGAAGCAATGTCAGCAATTCAAAGTGTGTTAAAAAATAGGAATTTCTGGTAAATATTAGTTTTTTTTGTTATACAGAGTAACTATGACCTAAAAATGATTAACAACATATATATAGACATATGTATATTAGATTACGTAAAAAAAAATCCTGAAATGCGACCGGAATAAGACTCAAATTTTAGCACTTGGTATAGTACCTGGTGATCCTCCATGAATCTCGCCTCTCTACGACAATTGTAAGAGGTCCCGCGTCGAACCTTTAATTTGGCCATAGGAATTACACGTAAGAAAATGAGTTCTTTCCTTTTGAGGTCGATATAATTTTCTAGGATCAATGAAAACGCTCGAAGCTGTACAAATATATTGATTACATGCCATTTGAGTATTGTGCATGCTCAGATTTAGAGGGATTAAAAAGGATAATTCAGGAATTTAAATAATCAGAGACTGCTTGCATCTGTACATATTTAAATTCTTAACTTATGTACAGTGGTGGATGAAATAAATGAAACTTTTTATTTTGACCAGTTTTGGCTATATTACTTTGTTTATTCGATGTTTAATATTTTTTCATAAAAGTCTAGCGCTTTATATAACACGCGCCATATAACTCCACATTTCAAACTTTGTACAAAAATTACACAAACTCAACAAATTTTAACAATATCCTCCAAAAATTTTAATCAGATTTCTTTTTTTTAAATTAAATTTTAGTGGGTTAATTTTTTTGTTTGCAGACGTTGCTAGGCATTTTCTTCCGCATAAAAAGAAATTTTGAGCATGGTCGAGCAAAACTTTTGAAAACGTATAACGAGAACGAGAGTTCCGCTGCCACAAATTGATACTTTCACGACCCATTCTCGATAGTGTTAACAAAATTTCTAAAATGGATACATTCTCGTGTACATTGGTCGGGTGGGTAAGTATATTTAGTAGTCGTAACTAGACTCTTCCTCAGAAGTTGTAAGAAAAGGCTCAGTTCTCCAACTCAAGTTGAGATAATCTGCATTTACTTCGTGAGGCACCAATGCATAAAGTAAAGACGCTGGAGACCGCCTTGGACACAATTGTGATAGTGTAGATACGATTTTTGTCCACAAGAACCTCGCTGTAGGGCCTATTTTATAAAGTAGTCAATTCTTTAGATAAGCTTAAGGTTAGAACTGGCCCAAAATGGAGCCTGTAGGTACAGGCTTCAAGTTTTAGGGGCATTCTCTTTGAAGTGTGTGCCTAATTGCGTAACCGGATAATGTTACTGTACAACCGTTTGGTATTATGAATCGTTTTTCTGTAAAAATAAAACACTTTAAATAAAGTTGCTCTGCAAACATATTTCCTTAACACCAAGCACACAATGCTGCTGAATATTTAATGACATCAACTACTTATTTTTATTTCTTAAATCATGTTTCCTCAAAAAACACTCAATGTCTACTGACCTGACCGGAGTCCGTGTCGAATTTGTAAAGACGCATCGCTGGATTATTTGAGCCAACGTTTAATTTCCTTGGTGTTACGGATGGCGAAATCATCATCCATGAAACCGGTTTGCCTGGAAATACAAATAAAAATACGTACACATACATGAGATATTGCAAAAATTGTGCGTTCGCTGAAACATAAATATATGTACATATTTGCTTTGTTCCACACGCTTTCTAGGCTGTTTCGGTAATTAGAGCGTAAAAATAAGGCATTCTCTCACAAGTGTCAAAAATATGTCAACACGTGCCAAAAGTGCCCAGAGCGTGAAGAACGCAAAAAAAAAAACACATTTCATGCCCGGAGTCAACAAATCAACTCTAAACAATTATTTTATGTGCATTTATCTTATATATGGCTAAAAAAATTAGCAATTACCTACATTTCTGAAACTTCAGTGCTATTTTCCATGTTTGTATTTTATGAAAGTTGCTTTCGGATGTAAACAAAAAACAACAATTATTTCAAATTCACTTCTTTCACATTTCCGCCTGCAAAAAGTTTGGGCGATTTCTGGCACGAAGAAGAAGACATTTACGATCCCTATCAATTACCCATTTTTGTAGCGTGAGGAACGCTTTCTGGGCTGTTTTGGGCTATTTCGCACATCCGTATACTAAAATTTAGTGTACACAAAAAAATTCTAAAAAAAATTTTAAATTTATTATGTACTCATTTTACTCAACTTCGGTGTAAAAAAATTCATAACTCAAATTATTGTAGAGCGCACCCCATAATACTATACTTAAATATTGCGCAATACTCAGAGCTACCATTGTGATTTTTTTTCAATTTTTTTTCGATATTGCATATTTTTGAAAACTAATTTCTTTATAAAAAAATGTGTATGTGAAAAATGTTTCAAGAAAACAAATTTTTTAATATTTATTTTCATAGAAAATTTTGATGATTGTATGTGTGATTTTTTTCAAATTTTTTCCTCTCCGCGTTCTCGAGATATTTGGAAAACTATTAAACCGATTTGGTTTTGTTGTTGGTGCTGTAAAGTTCTTAAAAATGTATTAATCAAGCTCAAATTTCTTATTTATTTATGCATCAACCCTAAAAATCAACTAACCAAACACATGAATTGTGAACCCCGTCCGTTTTGGTATGAACAGAAAGGTAAAAGTTTCAGTATGTTTGGAAGGCGCATTGTTTGGCATTGATTTCCAAATGCTCGGTATCTGGTTCACCTATAAGAAAAAAGTATCCCATAAGCTAATCTAGGCAAAAAGCTACCTGCGTACCAAATTTCACACAAATCGGACCATAAATAAGATTTTTCCGAATAGATCGGTCCCTGGCCCACCTACCGCAAAAAAACTAAGTTTTTTTATCATAGGTCATAGGTGGTTGTTGAAAGATATTTATATACAAAAATTTTATGCCAATCGGATAGGGCGCTCGCGAGATTACTGGTTACAAAAAAAGGAGACTTCTCTTTATATAATTAGTATAGATACAGATTGCCTCCTCTGAAATGGGTACGTCGGTTTGAGTTTTTTGAATGATCATTATTCTTAAGTAAAAAAATCAAATTCAATAATAATCATTATCTTTGAGCGAGAAAAAAAATAAAAATCAAGTAACAATAATGTCTTTTGAGCCAAAAAAATTAAACTCAAATAAAAATTATATATTTTTTTTTATCTTTATTGGTCAAGCTCGAACACAATTACGTGAGTGTATTAAAAATTGTTTTATGACGATTACAACTTATTAATTTTTTTTGGTTAAAATTAAAAAATAAACACAAATATTTAAATTTTTCTGAAAAGTTTAATTTTTTAGTTGTTCATTTAAATTTTTAATGTGTTTCTAATATAAGAATGTCCATATTCACTGCCGAATTTCTGGCACGATACTGCGGGTAAAATTAAACGAATTTGATTTTCAAACAATGCGTGCGATGCGGGACGTCGCAATGCACGCAATCGCCAAATCGTGCTTACGTCCGACATCGCCCGCACCGAATTTCTCGTGTCTACCCTGGACACGGCGTTACGCGTTATATTAAGCCTAGACTTTAATACTAACCTAAGCAATAATTTTGAGTTAATTTGCTATAGAAAATAAAAATTCTCGGCAAAATATAAACCGAAACTTAGTTCATCAGCATAAAATTACTTGGCCAAAAATTTTAAAATTTTCCAATATGGTAAATGGGTAAACTCGCTCTTGGTTTGTGCCCATGCATTTTATGTGTCAGCATATGAAAAATGAATTACGAATATGTTATTATCAAACTACATACTTGCATACATATGTACATATGACCTTTAACAAACGAAAATACTAACATACATACATATGTACGTACGTATCCACATCTGTAAGCATGTGCGCGTGTGTGTGCGCGTTTGGTTTTATGCCAACATTAAAGCCCGTTAAAGGATTTTATGCACGTTTCATTGCGGAAACAATTAGCCAACGGATTTACGCTTCCCACTCGGTAGCCGCACCACTTGTGTGTGCAAATATTAAGCACTGCTTGAACACAATGTAAGCTTAAATTTATGCGAAAATGCAATGTATGCATGAATGTGCAACATAAAACCACCAATTGAAATTGTATGAGCATTTTTTTGACAGACAATGGCATTAAACTATGAACATATTTGCAGAAGTCTAATAAGAGCTTTAAAAATTTTACTAACCGCAGATATATATGACAGTACAAATGTACATATGAAAATATGATAAATTGATGGGAAAGCTTATACTAATCTAAATGAATTATTAGATATTTTTTTTTATCAAACCTTGTTGTTGACTTTTTTTTCATAATTCGTAATACTTTGCTTAGTTGTTTTTTTATTTAAATATAACATCGACACTAAATCTAAACTTTAAACTTATTGGCAATAAAAGCGGGTAATTAAGCCAAAAACTTTAACAGAAAGTTAAGCGAATTACGGAAGGTTTCACGACCAGAGCGAATTCCTGCAAGCAAAAACACGTCTACTTAAGTTATGCGTCGGAATATTGGGAGTGGTGAGAACCGCGCCTAAAGAGGTGTTTAGCAAGCATGTGTGTACCTGGAACTGCTTAACATTTTCGTTCATGTGCGGCCTCAGGCTTAGGGAAGCCAACATGTGAAATCCAACTAATTCCAGGAAAGCGGCAAAATTGTGTGAAATGAAAAGTAGCAATTACTACATAACGCAAGGTTGGGCCTTCAATAAAAGTCTACACCTAGAATGATGTGCTACAGATGTATAGGGTGGGTTTGGTTGACACCAAAACACTGTGGTTAAAAAAATAATGTTGAACACACACACGCAGCTTTGAAATTGGGCTGTCGGTTTGTTGAAGCATGCGTGAGGAACGAATAAATTGGAAAAAATATTTGCTTTGATGCGTTCACCGGGGTGAATATCAGTACTAGGCGATGGAGTCCCTCGGCCGTCACAAATCCAACATCGAATTTGCGCTGCTTTATATGACAGCTGTAGTATACTTGGCAAGGGCCCAACGTACATATTTCTTGGATGGTGGTGATGTCTGCTTTTGTCCTTACTAGGACATCAACCAGCCGGGAAGAGGCACTTTACTCATTAAGGGTACGTACATACCAGCTGCATGTCCCCAAATCGTAGATTTATTTTTTACTGGAATGAGTTTTTATGTGGCGGGTCCCGCACCCAGCGTACAACTCATTGCTAGGAGGGGTGTGGTTTCTCAACCGAATGCATGTTTACATAGCGCGCCGCTTGTGCAAGAAAGACGCTTACTTGCAGGCGAACCAACTGCTGTACAGACGCTGTGAGCCCTTTAACCGAATAAGCTCGAGTGGCTCCACCGAATTTCCCTCTCTTTATGCCGTGACCAGCTTCAGCCGCTCCAGTCCGATTGGTTATATATGAAATTTTGAGTTGTGTCGTTATTGTAGGGGACCATCGATATTTGAAATTTTAAATCTATCAAACAAAAGGGTGTTAGTTTAAATAGTTTAATATTTTCGAAATGTTTGAAAAGGGTTTCCACCTATTTAAATAATTAAATTAAAAATTTTCAGTTAGTTAAATGAATTACTAAATGAGTTTAAAAGGCTTCATTTCGGTACTAAATATATTTAATAGGGTTGCCACAAGTTCAAAAAAATCAAATTCAATTTGAATTTCGGCAATTAGGTAATTGAAATATGTTTCACAATACGGCGGTCAGACGAAAGTTAGCGTTTGCAAATATTTGGAAAAGGGTTACCACCTGTTCGAAAATTCGAAATATGCGTCTCAAACTAAACAGCGGTAAGAAATCTTTAACTTGATCATTTAGAATATATTCGAGGCTTTTTGGGTCTCCACCATTTACAAAGTTAAATAAAAATTATTAAATAAATTAAATGAATCATTAAAAGATGTGTGTCAATCGAATTGTTGTGGAAAGGCTTTATTTCAAAACTATATTTAGGAGGGTATTTGAAAAATATAATTCAACATAAATTATCAGTTAATTCAAATACGTATCCCACTGCCAGACGAAAGCGATTTAAGAAGAAGATGAAGAGATTAAGAAGAAAGGTTGCCACTTATTTGAAAAGTCATATCTGCTTAGTGTACGTAATACGCGAGGGCATATTTAAGAAGGTTATCAATAATTTGAATTTAAAATTAAACAGCTTGGCATGTAGTTGTGAAACAATGAACCTATAGCTCTATTATAGGAATATAATAATTTATGATTAGAGAAACCACACCAAGTGAGATTTCTCTTCTTTACTAAGAAACAGCTGGACTGATTTAGATAAAATTTGGCACGGGGATCACTTTTAACTGTGACTAACATTTGGATTTTTTTAAGGTTTTTGAAGAGGGTTGCCACCTGTTTAAAATGTTAAACTGAATTTTGGCGGTTTAACGTTAAGCGGGTTTATTTGTTATATAAGTATTATTACCGGTAATAGAGAAAGAAGTTTTAATTTATTGCGCGTGAGATCCATACTCAACTTTTTTTTCAATTAGCTGATTTATAGTCCAAAAATAAACTCAATAGAATAGTAATTAGAAACATCTTGCTATATTTCCATTAAAATCTAGGAAAAGATGCCCAAGGGAAGGACTCCCA